GAATTATATATTATATCTGCCTTGTCTAGTTAAGAATTTTTTGTTTTTTACCAAGTATATACTGACATAAATAAACACAGTAGCCAGCCATGCAAAAACAAAACAAAACAAAAAACAAAGGGGGGGGGAGAATACCACCTTCCTAGCAATTCACTAATTGGAGTACTGTGAGTTGAAAGCAAAGCCCATTATTTGGGGGATAGGAAACATACTGACAAATAGGTAACAACTCTGCATGTTTTACTTGGAAGCAAGATTCATTAAATTCAACTCTGGTCATGCAAAAATGCACTAGAATGAAGTGGCCAAGATATTAAAAACCACTTCAATTTTAGAGCTACATTTATTGTTTCTACTCTTCTAATGTAATACTAAATGTGAACTTCCAACTTTTTATGAGCTAACTGGGGTCTACATGAAAGCTATAGCTGGTATTTCAGAAACAGCAGACAAAGAAAAATTATGTGTCATCCATGGTTCTGCTTTTTCCTGTTTTTTGAGGAAAGAAATAAATGAGTAGATTCAGAAGGATAATGCACACAAAATCCAGTATGCTAACCTTGCTTGATTATATACACGGAATATAGATATATATCTAAATATAGAATCCAAATAAACTGATATCCAGATACATGAAAATAATTCATTTAATTATTGTATTTATATCAATCAGATAAGCAATTTGCCCGTAAAAAATCCTGGATGTAACAACGAATTAGGAATCCATTTTTGTCACTGTAATATTTTTCTGCACATACATCTGCTTACTAAAGAATGTGTTCTCTAGATTGGACTTAACCAATTAAAACCAAACTGCAGAGGAAGGCATTTAAAAAGGACATGTGACAATATAATGAGCATATCTGCACTTTAAACTGTTGATCAATATGCTTTTTACCAAAAAAATGCTCTGGTACTTTTAAAAATGTTCTTTACAACATTTTCCTACATTAAATGGAGGAGTGAAAGGGGGAAAAAAGCCAAGAAACTGATATTGATGTCAAATGTTATCTGTTGTCAAGAAAGAAGAGTTGTTGTTGTTGGCGGTATAATTATGAAGGACAAAAAATGTAGTTAGAAACTGACAAAGATGAGAATTTAAAAGAGATTTTAATATAACCTTTGAAAAAAATATTAAGGAGATCTTCAGATTATCCATAACTCACTTATAATCTGATTACTTACAAATATATAGCAAAATTAGATAAAGTTAGATATAGATACCTAAGTTCTAAGCTTTACTCATCTATAAAATTTGCATAGAATCACATGGAATTAAGTCTTCAGTGAGAGATACAGATTCACAGATTTGTGCTGCCACATGGTATTAACAGAATGTTGAAAGCAACTTTGGTTATCTGGCACACATGAACCTAGTGTTGAACAAAAATAAATGTTTGACTCATGTTACAATGGTGAAAAACAAAGGACATGATTCATAAAAGCACATACCAACGCAACTAATATTCCATTAAGCCATGTTTCCTAAGGGAAATCTGCATCAGTAGAATGTGATTTGTTTTTGTTTTAATTTTAGTACTGTTCCACATAGCAAGTCACTGATTAATAAAGGTAATGTTACACATTGCTGACCTCTATTAGAATGTGTCAGATATCAAGAGACTCCCAAGGAAAACATGAAATATCGTTACACAGTTGATGCAACCTAAGAAGCCTATCAATCCTGTGGTTAAATAAATGCTGTAGTAGGTAATGTCCAAATTTATCACACATGAAGTAAATTAGGATAGGTAGCTAAAACATTAGCCCACTCTGCTTGGCAAATAAAAATGAAGAAACAAACCTATGGGTATGTATTTTTATTACCACAAAATTGCAATACTAATATACTTTTTTAAAGTATCAACTTTTGAGATTATAACTATGATTCCACTTTTTAACATATGGTGCCGGACAGTAGCTGCTATAAAGTTTCTACCAGGTATAAGTTAAATATTAGTCTGTATTTTCAATTTTCTTTTTCATTTCTAACTTTTAACTTTGTAACTTTAAAATTTTTCAATAAAATATTATTAAAAAAACAATATTGTGCCTTGTACTTTAAACAAAATGATAACAGTCATTAAAATGACAAATCCATTGGAGTTGGGCAACTATAAAAAATTTGAATTTGAATAAATAAATAAATAAAAGATAATACTATCATATGAAAAAAGTTTGGACTTTATATGGAGAAAATGAGCACACCTTTATTTATAGCCAAGAGTATATTTCAGCTGTCATGCTGTATTTGTATCACAAAATGACTGAGGAACTGCTACTCTTTCTTGAATTCAGACAAGACTTTCAAATATATTTCACAGAGCAACCATTTATATAGTCAGGAATAACCTACAGAAAGCCACAAATTTACAGTCTGGTTGTAATCATGCAAATTATGTTTATTATTTTACTATGTATTACATTTTAAAGGATGCTCTCAAAAAAGCTTATAGCAATTATAAACCATGATAATATTGCTCTAAAACAATATATATATATTTTACTATTTTATTTTCCAGTAGCCTAGAGCTCAAAAACAGGAGATACCAAAGTTATTATTTCCAGTGATCTCATGTTTACTCCCAAACACCAAAACCTTTGATACATGTCCAAAATAAATGGCTATGGCATCAAAGTTGTTCAGTTTAGCATGATAATGATGCATGTAAACTCTAAATTGATTATTGAAGCAAAGCCTTAATATAGTTTCTGACTGATCCTGTCCCCAGCAAGATGAATCTTCCTAAGTTGAATGTATTGACTCACTATTATCAAATAATTTTGATTTAATTATCCAATTCTTCACCATCTTAAAAAAATAAAACCAGGTGTACATAAAGCTACTTTGTGGGGGGCTTTTTATATTCATTTCTGCATATCAGTATCTTTGTGCATTTCAAGCACTTACTCTTCATTATGATAAACACAACAGCTTAACAATAAAAAGTGAATACATATATTACCTGTATAACGGCACTGAACCAGCACGTATTGCCAACATTTTTTAATCCCACTGGACAAATATCTTGACGTTTTCTATCATATGGATTTGGAGAATCACTCCAGACTTCTGGATGGGTTCTTTTCAGACTTGCTTTGTTTTCTGCTATACTGGCTTCTAGAACTCTTAGAAAATAAATGAAATAATTAGAAAAAACAGTCTAACAACTTGGATCTATATCTGCGCAGATCTTTAACATGTTTATGCCTTTTAATAAAATCTGTTAATCAGAAAAATCAGACTGCTCCTGATTTTCCCCCACACTAAATTATAGATTAACTTGAGCAAGAGTTTATTTAATAATTACCTACATTACACCATTACGTATATGTATGTAAAAAGACCCTAAAATCAAATCTGGTCTTCTGAAAAATAATAGTGTGTTGTTTTGCCTATTGTCAAACAATGGATAAAAGTATATAGAGCTACCGCAAAGCATCATTTAGTAGGTTTATAAAGAGAAAGGGTATTATTAGATTAGATTTTTTTTTTTAATCCGCTTTCAATCATGACCAATTCTACGGAGACTGCCTGGATGAGTCCCTGCAGTTTTCCTGGCAAGCGTTTTTGCCATTCTTCCTAGGGCGGAGCCCAGCTGGCAGTCGCTGGGTTTTTTTTATCCCACCTTTATTATTTTTATAAATAACTCAAGGCAGTGAACATACCTAATCCTCCTTCCTCCTATTTTCCCCACAACAACTCTGTAAGGTGAGTTGGGCTGAGAGAGTGTGACTGGCCCAAAGTCATCCAGCATAATGGCACAAACACTTGTTATAACCATGATGCGTAATATATAATGGTATAAAACTACCACTTACATAGCTTTGAATCATTTTCCTCAATGAATAAATGAACAAGTACAGTCATGTGAAAAAGAAAGTACATCCTCTTTGAGTTCTATGTTTTTATATATCAGGATATAATAAAAATCATCTGGTCCTTAGCAGTTCTCAAAAGTAGGTAAATACAA